AAAAAATATTACTAAGAGAAATGTCTAAGATTTTACTGCCTATGTTTTCTTCTAGGAGTTTTATGGTTTCAATTTTCACATTTAAGTATTTGATCCATTTTGAGTTTATTCTTTTATATGATGTAAAAAAAAAGCTGGTTTAGTTTCATTTTTTGCATGTATCTGTCCAATTTTCCCAGTATCATTTATTCAATAGACTGTCCTTACCTCATTTCATGTTCTTGCCTCCTTTGTCAAATACTAGTTGACCATATAGGCATGGGCTTATTTCTGAGCTTTCTGTTATGTTCCATTGATCTGCTTTTTATGCCAGTACCATGCTGTTTTGATTATGGCCTTGTAGTATACTTTGATATCAGGTAACGTGATTCCTCCAATTTTGTTCTTTCTCAAGATTGCTGTGGCTCTTTGGGGTCTTTTTTGGTTCCATATTAATTTTTGGATTATTTGTCCTAGTTCTGTGAAATACATCATTTGTATTTTGATAGGAATTGCATTAAATTTATAGATTTCTTTGGGTAGCATGAACATTTTTTTTATATATATATATTTTTTTATCCTCACCCGAGGACATTTTTCCATTTTTTATTCAGATAGAGTGGGAGGGGGAGAGGGAGAGAGAGAGAGAGAGAGACAGAGAGAGAGAGAGAGAGAGAGAGAGAGAGAGAGACATCGACGTGAAAGGGACACATCGAGTGGCTGCCACCCTCACGACCCAACCAGGGCCGGGGACAAACTGCAACTGAGGTACATGCCCTTAGCAGGAACCGAACCTGGGTCTCTCTGGACCACAGGCCGACGCTCTAACCGCTGAGCCAAACTGGCCAGGGCAGTATGGACATTTTAAAAATGTTAATTCTTCCTGTCCAAGAGCACAGTATATGCTTCCATTTAATTGTATTTTCTTCAATTTCTTTCTTTGGTATCTTATAATTTTCTGAGTACAGGTCTTTTGTCTCCTTGGTTAAATTTATTCCTAGGTATTTTATTTAATTTTTTATGTTATTGTAAATGGGATTGTTTTCTTAGTTTCTCTTTCTGATAGTTTATTATTAGTCTGTAAAAATAAAACCAATTTCTGAATATTAATTTTGTATCCTAATACTTTACTGAATTTATTTATCAATTATAGTACTTTTTTTTTTTTTGGTGGAATCTTTAGGGTTCTTTATATACAGTATCAATTCAATGTCAGACGCTGCCTATGACAGGCCTTGGGCAACCTGTTTGGAGCTACAGTTTGTGGCTGCCTCTGCTGGGCCTTGATGTGCATGGGAAGGACCAAGCTGTGAACCAAGGCTGGCTTCCACCAGCACTGAGTTCAGGGCAGGTCAGCAAAAGGCCCAAGACACAAGACATCTGAGATCTGCCTCTGCTTGCCTTTACCTCCTGGCTGACTGGTTGGTTCAGTCACTGATTTTTTTTTTTAATTCTCACCCGAGGACATTTTTCCATTTTTTGTTCAGATAGAGTGGGAGGGAGGGAGAGAGAGAAAAGCATCGCCATGAAAAGGACACATCGAGTGGTTGCCACCTGCACGACCCAACCAGGGCCGGGGACAAACTGCAACCGAGGCACATGCCCCTAGTGGGAACTGAACCCTGGTCTCTCTGGACCGCAGGCTGATGCTCTAACTGCTGAGCCAAACCAGCCAGGGCTGGCTCAGTCACTGAAAGAGCCTCTGGTGGTACTAGAGTTGCATGAGGAAGGGTCTCAGTGAGTCACCAGGTAGGGGAAAGTGGTGTTCACCAGATTGATCCAGGTTCAATATTGGTGTCAGTGATGGGTCTCTGGCCACTCAGCAAATGTCCCAGATTATACCAAGTCTAGCTGCCACCCGCTGGGTGCCTGTAGACCTTTGTGGAAGGACAGGTTCTCACAAAATTATCAAGGTAAGGCCAGCAGAGTTTATTAGGCCCAAACAGACCAATATTTGGCCCTGTGAGGGGAGAGCTCTGAGCTAGTCAGGTGTGTGAGGGGAAAATGACCCATGTCCTAAAGTCACACAACTCAGTGTATGTCCCAGATTCTGCCAGGAGCTCAAGCTCAGCCAGGCAAGGCTGGTGGGAGTTGGGAGGGTGGGGCCAATGGATCTGTCATGAGGAGGAGCATCGGTTAGGCTTGGGGGAAGGAGGGAGTAGTGGAGCTTGTCCCAGAGCCACCAAACTCAGTCACTGACACTCCCTGAGTCTGCCAGGACTTCTACACTCCTGCCCAGGCAGCTGATTTCTCAGCAAGGTGTGAGTTCTGCAGGGAGGGTGACAGTGAGTCCAGAAGGTGGGTTTATTGCATTACCTCAGGCTTATTCTGTAAGGAAGGGAGCACACCATCCAAGAAAGATGGTGTCTATGGTGTGGGAGAGGGACTCAGCACAGGGATCCTGCTGGCTGTCCCTTCAGCTCTTTCCCCAGAACCACAAACCGTAGTCTCTCCCCACATGACTCTAGTCCACTCTGCCATCCCTCTGCCAGAGACCAGGGTGAGTGGCTGTGAATGGGATTTTGTGTGCCAGCCTTTTAAGAGGGTGCCTGGGTTTCTAGCAGACTCCCATAATTTCCTGGCAGTCAGAGTCCCTGCTGATTTTCACAGTCAGATGTTACATGGGTTCTCTTCCTGGCTCTGGTGCTCTGGGCTGAGGAGCCCAGTGTGGGGTTGAGACCCATCATTCCTCAGAGAGAAAATTTGCATCAGAGATATCCTTCCTGGTTCTCAGCCTCACCCCATGGGAGCAGGGCCAGCCCCTTTCAAGTCTCTGTACTTCCTACTAGTCTTGATGTGGCTTCTTCTATAAATCCTTGGTTATAAGACTTCTGTTCAGCTAGTCTTCAGTTGGTTATTCTGGTTGATTGTTCTATATTTTAGTTGTAATTCCAGTTTGGTTTTGGGAGGAGGCGAGTGTACCGTCTACCTACCCTGCCACCATCTTGGATGTCTCCTTTACTAAATGTTTAAAGAAAGATTAATGCCAACCCTTCCCAAATTCTTCCAAAAGATAGAAAAGGAGGGCAAACTTCCCAACTTATCCTACAAGGCCAGCAATACCTTGATACCAAATCTGGACATACATACCACAAGAAAAAAAAATATAGACCAATATTCTGTATCAATATGGATACAAAAGTCCTCAGAAGAATTTTAGCAAAATGAACCCAACATTCCATTCCATGCCATGTCCAGGTAGGATTTATCACACAGGAATGAAATGATGGTTCAACATAAGAAAATTGATTAATCAACACATTAGTGAACGAAAAAGAAAAACCCACATGATCACCTCAGTTGATGTAGAAAAAGCATTCAACAAAATCCAACAACATAAATTTCCTCAACATAATAAAGGGCATTTAGAAAATACCTAAAGCTAATGGCATACTCAATGGTGGAAGATGAAAACTTTCCCCCTGACATCAGGAACAAGACAATGATGATTGCCTTCACTGCTTCTAATCAAGGTTGTAATGGAAGTCCTAGCCAGAACAATGAGGTAAGAAAAATAAATTAAAGAATCCAAATTTGAAAGGAAGAAATAAAACTCTATTTTTAGGTGACATGATCTTATATATTAGAAATCTTTAAAGAATCCACAAAAGACTATTAAAGTTAATAAATGGAGTCAACAACGTTGCAGGATACAAGACCAACACACAAAAATCAGTTGTATTTCTATAAACTAGCAATGAAAAAATCCAAAATGAAATTAACAATTATATTTAAAATAGCATCAAAAGAAATAAATACATATGAATAAATGTAGCCAAGGAGGTGCAAGACTTGTGCACTGAAACGATAAAGAATTGCTGAAAGAAATTAAAAACCTAAAAAATAGAAAGAATTGTAACTCTTAATATTGCTAAGATGGCAATTCTACCAAAAGTTATCAACAGATTCAATGCAATTGATATCACAATCCCAACAATTTGTTTTACAGAAATGTAAAAATCAATCCTAACTTCAAATGGAATTTCAAGAGGCTTTGAATAGCTCAAATAATCTTGAAAAAGGAAAAAAGTTTGAGGACTCACACTTTCCTATTTCAAAAGTTAGTATAAAGCTGCAGTTATCAAAACTATGGTGCTAGCATAAGGACAGATGCATAGATCAACGGAATAAAATGAAGAGTCTATAAGTAAACCCATACTTCTATTTATAGGCATACACCCCAAAGAACTGAAAACAGGTGTTTAAATGGAACCCTGTACAAGAATGCTTGTTGCAATACTACTCACAATAGCCGAAAGGTGGAAATTACCCAAACATGCATCAAATGATGAACGGATGCACAACAGGTTGTCTAGCCATACAATGGAATATTATTCAGCCACGAAAAGGAATGAAGTGCTGATTTATGCTACCACATGGATGAATTATAACGAGAACATCATGCTTAGTGAAAATAGCCATTCATGAAAGGCCGACTATTTATTGATTCCTTCTCCAGGAAGTTTCCAGAATAGGCAAACCTCTATGGACAGGAAGCAGGTTCATGGTTGCCTGGGGTATGGGGGAAGGGGAGAAGGGATGTCGGAGGTGGGGGAAAGGAGGAAAGCAGTGGGGAGTGACTGCCTGACAGGGTACAGGGGTTTCTTTTTTGGTGTGGTTCCAACATTTTGGAAGTAGATAGTTGTGATGGTCATCCAACACCATGAGTGTATACTTGGTGCCACTGGATCGTACAGGTTTGTTGTTTTTTTCTGTACAAATTTCCGGTCTAGTGGAAAGTGCGAGTTCCCTCAAAGAGAGGGTCCAGTGAGCAGAATGCTGCCATCGCCATTTCTTTGCAGGCCCAGGCCCGCCGGGGCCAATGGGAAAGCAGTGACCTCACAGAACTTATAGTTAACACCTCGTGAGCCTTGACCAATGAGGGGCCGGTCCGTGGTCGCTAGGATACAGAGCAGGAGCCTCTGTACCGGCTATCTTGAGCGGTTGAGACCAACTGGCGAATCGCACCTTACCGCACTGAACCACACTGCGGTTTGGAGAAAGTGCACCCAACGCCAAGCATGTCTGAGCAAAGGAGCCGTGGAGGGTCGTCCGATCACCAGAGGAGGATCCGCACTCGCAACCGCAACTACAACCGCACCGCCAGAGCCAACTTGTCTTTTTCTGTGAGCCACCTGGAGCGCCTCCTGCGGGAAGGCCACTATGCCCAACGTCTCAGTTCATCTGCACCTGTCTTCCTAGCAGCCATCATCCAGTACATGACCGCCACCATTCTGGAGCTGGCAGGCAACGAGGCCCAGAAGAGAGGCTGCAGGCGCATCACTCCAGAGCTCCTGGACATGGCGATCCACAACAACGCACTGCTCAGCGGCTTCTTTAGGAGTACCACCATATCCCAAGTGGCCCCAGGCTGGCAGTAGCTGCCCAACCTGACATGGGTTCCCCGGGCCCCGACCCTAGGGAGCCAGGCCCTTTCACAGCCCGGGTCTGTTTGTTGCCTCGGGCAAAGTTATTGAAAATAAAGTGTTGAAAGAAATCTATGTTCCTGCTTCAGTCACTTTGTGTGGGAGGTGATTGTTGGACATAACTCCTTGGAGAGATGGGGATGGTGGTGGTGTCTTCCTGGAGGCGGGGGTGGAGTCAGAGATCACAAGAGAGGAGCAGCCTCTCATGGTGACAGTGCAGGGGGTGCCCCAGGGTGGGAGAAGCTGGCTGGGGTGGGGGTGAGGCTGGGGTGTGGAAGACTCCCGTTGCCTCTGAGCAAGTCAGAGCCAAGCAAAGTCCTCAGAAGGATGGTGTTCATTGAGGTGGAGGGCAAGGCCATGACTAAGACATCGTGATGGGGTGAATGTGCAATGCCAACCCGCGTACTGGATGGAACAGACAGAGCGCTTGACATGGACTCCAATAGGGCTTTGACGTGAAGACTGAGGGAGTGATGGCGGGGGGGGGGGGGGACAAGAAAGATGCAAAGTTGAAAGTAGGGTCACACAGGATCACAAGTTTCGTTTTGGTTCTGTTCCCTTAGGGATGCTAGGGCACACCGGCAGCAACCTAGAAACAAAAACAAGCTGTCACCTAGCAACAGCGGGTTTAAGGCTGGGCCCCGCCCTAGAATACGCGATTTGTTTACGTTCTTTGCAACAGGCCAGGCCCCACCCCAGGATGCCGATATTTTGCATATCACCAGGGCGACGAGGAGGCGCCGGGCTTAAGTGCTCGCGCGGTTGCGCGGCTCGCCTGAGCGGGACGTAGGGCACGTTTCAGCCGGTCGCCAGCACCCGCACGTCCACCCAACTGCGTAGTCGCGACCGGAAGCGCTTGGGTTGGTAACATGGCGGCGTCCGCGAGCGGCCTGGGCGGTGGTGCGGGCCCAGGGCCTGAGGCTGGGGACTTCCTGGCCAGGTATCGCCAGGTGTCAAACAAACTGAAGAAGCGGTTCCTGCGGAAGCCGAACGTGGCGGAGGCCGGCGAGCAGTTCGGACAGCTGGGCCGCGAGCTGCGTGCTCAGGAGTGCCTGCCATACGCGGCCTGGTGCCAGCTGGCGGTTGCGCGCTGCCATCAGGCGCTCTTCCACGGGCCCGGGGAAGCTCTGGCGCTCACGGAGGCCGCCCGCCTCTTCCTGCGGCAGGAGCTCGACGCGCGCCAGCGCCTCGTCTGCCCCGCCGCCTACGGGGAGCCGCTGCAGGCTGCTGCCAGCGCCCTGGGTGCCGCTGTGCGCCTGCACCTTGAGCTGGGGCAGCCGGCCGCCGCCGCCGCCCTCTGCCTCGAGCTGGCTGCCGCCCTGCGCGACCTGGGTCAGCCGGCCGCCGCCGCCGGCCACTTCCAGCGCGCAGCCCAGCTGCAGCTGTCCCAGCTGCCCTTGGCCGCGCTGCAGGCGCTTGGCGACGCCGCCTCCTGCCAGCTGCTGGCGCGCGACTACAATGGCGCCTTAGGAGTCTTCACGCGCATGCAGCGCCTGGCGCAGGAGCATGGCAGCCATCCGGTGCAGCCGCCGCCGCCGCCGCCGCCCCCACTGCAGCCACAGTCTCAGGTACAGTCGCAGCCACTAGGCCTCCAGCATGGGCCCGGCGCGGCCCCCGCCCTGCAGGCCTCGCTGCTCCCTCCGAATGCCGGCTCTGTGGCCGTGCCCTCTCCCGCAGTACTGGGCGCCTTCTCGGACGTCCTGGTCCGCTGTGAGGTGTCTCGCGTGCTGCTGCTGCTGCTCCTGCAACCACCGCCCGCCAAACTCCTCCCAGAGCATGCTCACACCCTGGAGAAGTACTCCTGGGAGGCTTTCGACAGCCATGGGCAGGAGACCAGTGGCCAGCTTCCCGAGGAGCTCTTCCTGCTGCTCCAGTCCTTGGTCATGGCTACCCACGAGAAGGACACGGAAGCCATCAAATCGCTGCAGGTGGAGATGTGGCCACTGTTGAGTGCCGAGCAGAACCACCTCCTTCACCTGGTTCTGCAAGAAACCATCTCCCCCTCAGGACAGGGGATCTGATGGTTCACATTAACCAATAGACTTTCTGCCTGTTACCAGATCTCATGCATCTGCCTTTGCATTGGGGGGCGGGGAAAATAAAATATATTGATCACAGCAGTTCTACCTTTGTTCAGCGTATTCCTCTTGCCACCATAGGAATTTAGTTGACCAAAAGTTAACTGTATCTCAAAGACTTATTTCCATAACAGTGGGAGAAAAAACAGTATGACAGGAGAGGAATAGAACACATGGCTCGCTTCCTCACAAGTACATAAAAATGAGAATTCTTTTATCCCTTTTCTCTTTCACTCAAGTTGCCCCTCCTATCCCCCCCCCCCCCAATCCTTGTTTCAGTGTCAGGATTTTATTTTGCACAACTGTCTAAATACTTAAGCTGTATGATTTTTTTAAATTGTGACTAATTTCTTGGCATATTTCTATATCTGGCTATGTGATCACCAAGTTCTTTGTTTTATCTGCCCCGTATGTATTCATAGGAATACACATGACCATTTTTATTTGTAGTAGTGAACTTTCTGCAACTCTTATTTAATTCAAATGTGTAAAATCAGCATGGTTCTTTGGTGTTGTGTGATCATGTATACACAAGCCAGTGTTGTTCCCCCAAACCACAATCGTGGTCTATTTTATTTTATTTTATATTTTATTTTATTTATTTTTTGGGTATGTGTGGGAACCAAACCCGGGACTCCCTGGTCCACAGGCGGACACTCCAGCAGCTCAACCAAACCGGCCAGGGCAATTGTGGTCTATTTTAAAACACTAAATTTCCAAGGCTTTTTGGTCCAAATGTTACATGCAACCCAAATTAGCTGTTGCTTTTATTTTAATTAAATTTTCTTTTCTTTACAATTTCTAGAGTGATGAGAACTCCAGAGTATAATCTTGTTCTCATCCTTTAGGCTGAAATTGTATACAGTACTAATCTTTTGGGGTGAGATTTAAGGACACAGTTTGAGGGTAGATTTTTGTTTTGCATTTTTGTGGGGATATGTGGATGGTTGTCCCTATGCATTAAGTGCCTCAAAATGGGATGGGTGGGACTTTTGAGGTATTCTTTTCTGCCTCTATTTCAACAGTGTGGAAGCAATAGGTGAGGAACTACAGGATACACCTATTTGAGACAGATTGAGTCACCATTCTTGTGCTCTCACTGCGCTGCCAGGGAGGGTTCTTTGGTGCCCTAAAAGCCTAGTCCAGTTTATTGCAAAAGTGGTAAGGGTGCATGCTCCTTTGTGCTTCTGCTTTTTCTGGTACACTCTTCTCACTCTGGCTGTCTGCCTTGCTGTCTTATACATGAATGCGTAGGAGTTATGTGATGTGACTAGTGATAATTGGATTTGGGCTTAAGAAAAATTCTGCTCTGGCCAGTTTGGCTCAGTGGTTAGAGCATCAGCCCATGGAACGAAGGGTTGCAGGTTTGATTCCAGTCCAAGGCATGTACCTGGGTTGCAGGTTTGATCCCTGGCCCCCTTTGGGGTTGTGCAGGAGGCAACTAATTGATGTGTCTCTCTCAAATCAATGTTTCTCCTTTCCCTCTTTTCCACTCTCTAAAAATCAATGGAAAAATATCCTTGGGTGAGGATTAACAACAACAAAAAGAAAAATCTTCGTAGGCTTCTGATCTAAACTTGCATTGAGGAGGGTGGAGGGGCTCTAGAGAGGCTAGCATTGGGTATATAAATATAATTTTAGGAAATACTAAAGGGTGTTTTCCATTTGCTGTTGGCTCATTTATGTATGTCCCTCAGAAATTTCAGTACAGATAGCTGGGCCAAAGTCAGATTTCAGCAATTTTGACAGTTCTCTTGGTATATATCAACTTAGTATCAAAATTAACACTGATTTATAATATGACCAAAAATAAATATTTTAAAGGATGTTGTCAGGCTTCTTTTTAACCTGGAAACCAGAGGGAAATATCTGTATCATAAACCACAGAACTTATATGCATGTATACATAACCAATAGACATGGACAACAAAGCCGGGGATGGGGCGGGGGTGGGGTGGGGAGGGGGGTGCCAATGGGGTAAAAAAAGAGAAACATCTGTAACAAAAAAAATAAATAAATAAATTTAAAAAAATTGAAAATGACAGTGAATCATTGATCATTAAAGGGTGTTGGGGCTTCCCCTTTTCCCCTTTATGAGGGAGGACTTCTATGATGTGAAATATTGCTTGTGAAAAATATTTTATATGTGAATGGTACAGATATAAAAACATTTGAGAACCAATACACTGGAGGAAGATTGCTAAGACTGAAATTTATAAATTAGACAAGCTCTGGAATGGAAGGGTTCTGGTTAATGTTAACTGTGTAGGTATCTTTACTGTCATTACACTAGACCACCAGTCTGCAAACTTTTTCTGAAAGGACCAGATAAAAATATGTTAATCTTTCCAGGCCACAAATGATCTCTAGCATAATTTTCTTTGTTTTTGCAACTTTAAATATGTAAAAACCTTTCTTAACCCACAGCCCATACAAAAACAGTTTGTAGTCTAAATCCATGGGTTCCTGTTTGCTCACCCCTGTGCTAGAACCTAGAATATAGTACAGTTGACCCTTGACTGTGCTGGTCCACTTATACTTGGATATTTTTAATTGACCCATGCAGTTCAAACCTACATTGTTCAAGAGTCAACTGGTAATTGGGAATCCAAGTAAATGGAGGGCCATCTTAAATTATAATTGGATTTTCAACTGCATGGGCTGTGGGTGCCCCCCTTCCAAGTTGTTCTAGGGTCAACTATAGTTGATAACTTAAAGGAATGACCCTTATGAGAATAGTTAATAACTATTTTATTGTTATTGAAGAAGAAATGTTGAAAATAAATGAACTAGTCCTTCAACTGCAGATTCTAGGAAACAAAAAAATAAACTAAAAGAAAAAGAGATAACTTTTAAAGTTTGAATAGAAATCAATTACAAAACAGCACCTTAAAATCTATGTTTGATTTTAAGACAAAGAGTTGATTCTTTGAATATCCAAAAGAATAGACAAACATTCAGTAACTTGGATAAAGAGGGAAAAAGAGATATATGTGTGTATGTAGGTATAGATAGATAGTGTGGGAAGGGATCTAGGACTTTAATGTACACATTTACAGCAATTAGTTACAGGTAACAAAATGAGAATGCCAATAGTCAAGTGTCTACCACTAAATAAGGCACAAAGCTCAAGTGGCTTTTGCATCTAACTTTCATTAAACACATGATTACTACATTAATTAAACTACTTTAGAGCAATAGTTTAATGGGAAAAAAATGAAAGCTTTTCCACTTTATTTTCAAGTTTAGTATAATTTAGGGATGGGGGTTTGGTGGGTGAACGATTTGTAACCTTGTGATATGCATTCTGGCAACCTGGCCAGCCTAGGAGCAAAGTGTGTGTGGACAGACAGGTTTGACTGGAAGGCAGGAAAACCACCTCGAGTGCTTCTGAATGCTTCATTTGCATGCGAATAAGATAAGGTTTTCATGACAAAGGATTGAAAGACCACCCAGTGAGGATAATGGGCCATAGGCCCAGGTGAAGCTGGGTTTGTTTTTTTTTGGTTTTTAAGTCTTTTTCCTCTGTAATATAGGATGCTAGCAAATTGGATCCAGATAAGTTTTAGATGATTAATACGCTATGACTGAGGGCAGTTTTCCCAGGAATGTAGTACAGTGCTGTGCTAGTACTGGCTTGTGAGAGCCTATTGTGTTCATGTGTTCCAGACTGCACTCAGTGATATTATCCAGTATCTTGGAACCTGGTATGATGGGAGTATTTATATCATAGAAATCAGCAAATGCTACAGATAAGGCCTTTCCCCCTAACAGACCCCCCCCCCCCGGCATTTTCCCCCAGAGCCAGTTGTTAATAATTTGCCAGTACACCATTGAATGTAAGTATAATTTGACAATAGGAAAGACGAAATGTGATCATATCAAAGATACTCAAAAGGCATTTCATGAAATTCTGCAGCCATTCCAAATACAGTAAGAATAAAAGAAAACTTCTTAAACATGACAAAAGGTGTTTGTTTGAAACTAACAGTGGATTCCATCGTGTAATGGTTAGCACTCTGGACTCTGAAACTAACAGTGGACATTACCTTAAACAGTGAAATATGGAATCCATCCCCATTAAAGCCAGTAACAAGACAGGGTTATTTGTTTTATATCTACATATATACATTTATATCTATATCTACATCTACATATCTATATATATATGTGACTGTGTCTGTGTGTATGTATATTAATATATTAATCATAAAAACAGGGTGATTGCTATTTCCTGTTTACCAGGTCTGTCAGTATATCATCAATGTAATGGACCGGTATTGAGTTTTGTGGGGGTGATGAGATGTTTGGAGTCTTTTGGGTTTATATTATGACAAAGAACAAGGAAGCTGGCATCACCCTGAGGTATGAACAGTAAAGTTGATACTCTTGTTTCTACTTCATAAATGCAAATATATTCTGATTTTGCTTATCAATGGGAATAATGAAAAAAGCATTTTCCAGGTCAGTAGTTCCATATCAGGTGCCTGGTTCTGTGTTAATTTGTTACAGAGGAGATACCACATCTGGTGTTGCAATTTTTGTCATTATCACTTGATTAAATTTGTGATGATCTGTCATTTTTCCATGGTTCATCTGGATTCTGTAGTGGCCAAACAGGGGCCCTAGTTAACTAATCCAGGTATAATCACTGAAAGAATTTTATGCAGAGAAAGGATGACTGCTTCAGAGTTTGGGGAAAGGTTGCTTTCTTAGACAAAGGAGGTTCAGGGGATTTTGGAGGTTTTTGTTCTCAGCTTCATCCATGCCTACCTAAATGTACCCATCCCAGGTCTCATAGTTCTGTTCCTTTCTAGCAGTGCCCTTACCCTAGCATAATAGACCTTGTGGGGCTGAGCAATTAATCGTCTCTGCAACTGTGCAATTCATATGCTCAGCCCCTAGACTTGGTCTTAAGTCCAAGTATCTGCCTGCAACCACAGGAAATGGAAGACTCCTCCAGAGCTCCATGGATGTGTTCTGTTCATGGGTGTTTTTCTTTATATATATTCATAACATTTAATTTTCCCCCCCCTATGTATGTTGTAAAAAAAAAAGGGGGGCCATAAAAAGAAGACAAGTCATTCTACAATCAGGCGACACTACAGTTGTTGCCACAGCAACTAAATGCCATTGTCAACTTAATCTCCCAATGTCTTCCTCACCATCTGTAACTCATTCCATAGTATCACTGGTGATAATATGAGAAATTGTGATGCCACCACATATCATGGATTACCCAACATCCAACCTTCTCCCCAAGCAAGGAAATTATATCTATGTTCCTTGAATATATTAGCAACATAATCCTAGAATTCCATCTTGAGGGTCTGTTACCTGGGACATCTGGCACCAATTACTGTATGAGAGAGACAGGGTTCCAACAAGAAACAGTTAACACTCAAATTAGGATAATTTGAGGAAAATTTAATACAAGTACTAGATAGGAAGGTGGGGGCAGGGTATTACCAATTCTGGGCCTGGAGGGATGAGAGAGGGAGAAGAATCTTACAGGAGATAATTAAGTAGATTCTTGTAGTGGTTTACAAAAATGACCACAGATTATTTACATTCCTCCTATTGAGAAATGTGGTCTATGTCTTTTCCCCTTGAATCGGGGTGAATGTGTGACTTGCTTAGCAGTGATATTATGTGACTTAGAAGAGTAGATCAGAAATGGTGATGTAATCTCCACCTTGTTAGCTGAAACATTCACACTTAGAGTCCTTAAGATGCCATGTAAGAAGTCTTACTACCTCAAGACTGCCAGGCTGTGAGAAGTCCAGGCCTCATGGAGAGGCCATGTGAAGTTACTTCAGTCAACAGCCTCAGATGCTGTCCTAGTTAGGTTAGTCAGCACCAACCACCAGACATGCAAGTTAAGATGTTTCAGATGGTCCCAGCCCCCAGCAGTCCAATTTTCCCATCTGAGGCCCCAGATATTATGGAACAGAGATAGGCTATCCCTGCTGTGCCCTGTTCAAAGTCCTGATCCACAGAATCTATGAACATAACAAAATGGTTGTTTTTCTGACACTAAGTTTTGAGGTAGTTTGGTAATCATTGGAACAGGTAGAGAAAGACACCTTGAGAGTGGCAGTGCCTTCAGTGTAGAGATACTGCCAAATCCTTTACGAGGTGGGAGCTTGGCGAATAAATATCCTGGTCTTACTTTTCTCACTTCCTCTAATATCTTTCCAGTGAAATCCAATCAAAAGGCAGAGAATAAGGTAGCTTGTTAATATATTCACACAGGTAAGGCTCACAGAATAAGGAGCAAGTTAGGGAAGCAGGAAAATGGATCTAAATGGGCAGACAGAAGTTATCTTGTACAGGGCCATTTGAAGACTTTGAACTTTATTTGGAAGACAAGAGGAAGTCATTGAAAGATTGTAGGTAGGGGTATGATAAGATGATTATCCCTAAAATGATGTGCAGCTTTATTAGAGAAGAGACTAGAGGAAAAGATTAGTTAAGAATGTAAAATAAAACTTCCGGTCAAGATGGCGGGTAGGTAAATGCGGTATCGCATCCTCCCACAACCACATCAAAGTTACAACTAAACTACAGAAGAACCATCATTCAAAACCGCCTGAAATCAAGCTGAATGGAAGTCCTACAACTACGGAATTAAAGCAGCAGCCACATTCAGACTGGTAGGAGGGGCGGAGGCACGAGGGCCAGTGGCGAGATGGGCTGGTCCCACACCCACGTGTGGCGGATAAAAATCAGGAGGATACCTCGGCTGGGAAGGTCCTTCCTGAGGACTGAGGGATCCCTGTCCCACACCAGGTGCCCCGCTCAGGGTTCCAGTGCCGGGAAGAGAAGTCCCCATAACTTCTGGCTGGAAAAACCAGCGGGAACTGAGGCTCAGGGAAGCTGAAGCTGCTGGAGCCCCAGGCAGCTCCTTAAAGGGCCCCCGCACGAACTTATCAGACTGTCTCCCTCTAAGCTTGGAGTGGAGGCAGCTCGAGGGGCACCAGAGACATACAGGGAAGAACGGAGCTGTTTGGCACTGGAGCAAGGGCTGGAGAGGGGGCTTTCTCCGGAACAAACGTGCTGTCAGAGGCCTTTGTTCCTTTGGTGAGCCCTTCCCTGGGGCGGCAGATAGCCGCTATATCTGGGACTCCAGCAACCTGGCTCACACTGGTAGCCCTGCCCTGGTGACTCCCTGAGGCCCCGCCCCACCCCACCCAACTTTCAGGCCCACCACTTGCTTAACCATAGGATTGGCCTGTCTTAGATCCTGCTTCAGGTTTTTCCTAAATTCTTTCAAATGAGTAGCATCTGGTCTCAGCTAGCCCCATACCTCTCATTAAGTAATACACAGAAACAAACACAGGGGGGCAGCCAAAATGAGGAGACAAAGAAGCAGGTCCCAAATGAAAGAACAGAACAAAACCCCAAGAAAAGAACTAAGCAAAATGGAGATAAGCAACCTAACAGATGCTGAGTTCAAAATACTGCTTATAAGGATGCTCATTGAACTTAGTGAGGGCCTCAAGAGCATAAAAAAGGACCAGTCCGAAATTATGAATGCACAGTCAGAATTGAAGGAGGCATTAACTGAAATAAAGAATAATTTACACAGCTTCAATAGTAGAGTACATAAATCCAAGAAGCAAACCATCGATTTGGAATATAAGGAAGCAAAAAACGCCGAATCAGAACAGCAAAAAGAAAAAAGAATCCAAAAAAATGAGGATAGTGTAAGGAGCCTCTGGGACAACTTCAAGTATGCCAACATTCGCATCTTGGGGGTGCCAGAAGGAGAAGAGAGAGAACAAGAAATTGAAAACCTGTTTGAAACAATAATGGCAGAAAACTTTCCTAACTTGGTGAAGGAAACAGACATACAAGTCCAGGAAGCACAGAGAGTCCCAAACAAGATGAACCCCAGGAGGCCCACACCAAGACACATCAGCATCAAAATGCAAAAGGTTCAAGACAAAGAGAATCTTAAAAGCAGCAAGAGAAAGGCAGCTAGTTACCTACAAGGGAGTTCCCATTAGGCTGTCAGCTGATTTCTCAAAAGAAACTTTGCAGGCCAGAAGGGAGTGGCAAGAAATATTCAGAGTGATGGAAAGCAAGAACCTACAACCAAGATTACTCTATCCTGCGAAGCCGTTATTTAGAATCGATGGCCATATAAAGACTTTCCCAGACAAGAAAAAGTTAAAGGAGTTCATCACCACCAAACTGTTATTATATGGAATGATGAAGGGTCTTTTTGAAGAAAAAGATAAAATATATGAAGAAACAAAATGGCAATGAATACATATCTATCAACAATGGAATCTACAAACAAAATGAACAGGTAGAACAGAAACATTCTCATAGAGACAGAGAACATTTTGTTGGTTGCCAGATGGGAGGGGGGTTGTGGGAATGGGTGAAAAAGGTGAAGAGATTAAGAAGTACAAATTCATTGCTAGATTGACAAACCTCAAAGGGAAAGGGGTTGGGGTGGTGGTGGGAAGAAATAAACCAAAGAACTTATATGCATAACCAATGGACACAGACAATAGTGTGGGAAAAGGCGGGAGGGGGGCGGGAGTGGGGAGGAGGGGGTCAGGGGGGAAAAATGTGGAACATCTGTAATACATTTTACATTCAACAATAAAGATTAAAAAAAAAAAGAATGTAACATAATAGGTCAATGTGAGGCGGTAGGGCCCTAAGCTATAGTAACAGCTGTATAAATGAAACAGAAGAGGTATGAGAGGCATTACAAAGAATAATTGCCTGGGTTTGTGGATCAATTCATTAGAGAGCATAAAAATGAAGGGAGAGTAGTTGATGCTAAGGTTTTAAGCCTATCTAATTAAGGGTCTTGAACTTGCCCCTAGAGAATTCATCATTTCCCAGGTTTCGCCCATCCCTTTGTGTGGAAGATGCAAATCTTCACCTCCATTCATGGTTTTGCCCCCTTTCATCTATAGTCTGTTGGACATTTAACCTGATTGCCCCACTATCACCTCAATCTTAGAATATTCATAAACAGACTCACAATGTTACCAATCTACCCAGTCGTAAATCACATATTTCTGTCAATAGAGTATCTCTTCATTTCTATTATCTACAAGAGTCTTGATACTACCACCTTTTTTATTCATATATACACAATCACTCCTACTACGCATACATGGAAAACTCTGTATTGGAGTTAAGTTTGTAGATGCTAGGAATGTTTGTCCCATATCTGAAACCTGTCAAAAGCTCTTTGAAATATTCATGCATTCTCTGGAAAGGACTAATTACATACCATTAAGGTCCCAGTGGAATTCCCTCGATAACTCTGCCACTTCTTCCCATCACGACTATACATGATGATAAACTGAGAGATGTAGAGGCTGGAGAACTTCTGACGGGCTCCCTGGGTCATAATGCCGTGAATAATCATTGGTGCCAATAGATCCACCTGCCAATTAAATCAACATTTTATTTTAAATGTATGTACCAGCTTCTGAAATAAATTATTGGCTTAGGAAGAATCTATACCAACACAGATATGCCCCAGTATTACCTTGGATGTGCAGGTGAAGCAGATACCAATGTTGAAATGTGGGTGTGTGTGAAGCTGTGGGGTATGTGATGGGAATGAGTAGGAAAGGTACTTATTGAGTTTCCAGCCTACTTCCTATAAAACCAGAAACCTTCAAAATAATTAAGCTCCCATTTCCTCTACTCACATCCTTTGTGCTGCACAATTGAACCCACATAACTTAGCGCTTTGCCCATACCTCAGCCTAGCCAAAGCCAATTTCCTCCCCTCTCTCCAGACCAGCCCCCATTGTAACATTTCTGTCAATGATAAACTGCTACTTCTCCTTCAAGTGTTAGTTCAGAAACTATTTCTCTTGGTTAGCCTTTCCTGTCTTACCCAGACAAATTTAGTGCTGTTTCTTCTATGCTTCCACTCTATTTTATATAACTTCATTATAACAAGTTATTGCACCATATTTATAAAGATTTCTTTGCTTATTTGTCTTTCTTGTTAGACTTATATCCTTAAGGCAATGAACCTGTTTGAGTCACCTAACCTTTCTGTGTGTCAACTTCTTTATCTGTAAAACAGAGATAGCAATGGTATTTATCTCAAAGGGTTACCAGAGGATTAAAGAGTTAATACATGTAATGTCCTTAGTCCAGTGCCATACACATACTGAACAAGAAATGTTAGCTTTTATATTCTCTCTAGCCCCAGCACTTAACATGGCATCTGGTATAATACTGATGATTAGCAAAGGTTTTGAAATGAATGAGTGAAAAATGGCAGAGTAGTAGGGAATGGTTGGTTTTTAAAGAAGAGGCATGGACCATGCAAGCATTAAAAGTGGATATCTACCACAGGAATTCTGGCATCAGTTACTGCTCTAACAAACAAGTCAAACTTAACTTCTCATAGATGCCTGGCACACACAAATTGGACTGGTCATGACTCTTTTTTATCCTCACTTGAGGACATTTTTTTCCCATTTTTTGTTCAGATAGAGTGGGAGGGAGAGAGTGGAAGAGAGGGAGAGAGAGAAAAACATCGATGTGAAAGGGACACATCAAGTGGCTGCCACCTGCACAACCAACCAGGGCCGGGGACAAACTGCAACCGAGGTTCGCACCCTTAGCAGGAACCGAACACGGGTCTCTCTGGACCGCAGGCTGACGCTCTAACCACTGAGCCAAACTGGCCAGGGCAGTCATGACTCTTTTGCTTAATGACTATTTCCTTCTGTTCACTGTAAGTTCCATCCATCCATCATTCATTCAAAGAATATATTTTTTGTACTTATGTGCCAAGCATTATTCTGGGTACTGGGAATACAGTAGTGAACAAGATAAAAAGTCCTTCCTTCATGGAACATACATTTGAGATGGAGAAACAGACTATCTATCATATGTATGTTTTTGTTTACAGCACCAAGTAGTGATAAGCGCAGGAGAAAAATAAAGCATGGTAACAGGAGAGAGAATGGCAAAGTCTTTAGAAGCTACAGCACTGTCTTTTCCCAAATTAGATGTTATTTCCAACTGAAGACACTTCATTTTTCCTCTTGGTCTTGTGGCAGAAACAACCAAAAGTACCAGGTACAAAAATCATGGCTTTTGTTGAACTGACTTGACTTTTCTTCATGTAGCATATGAGAGGTCTTTTTTGGACCACTGACTATTGTACCTTCTAATAAGGCCTTACCAGTTCTCTTTTCCACTTACATTCTGTGACTGATAAATTTTTGGCAAATCGGCAATTAAAAAAAAAAAATGTTTTTATATATTTTTTAGAGAGAGGGGGAGGGAGAAAGAGATAGAAATATGGATGTGCGAGAGATACATTGATTGGCTGCCTCCTGTAAGCCTCCTGCTGGGGATCAAGCCCACAACTCAGGCATAGCCCTGACTGGGAATTGAACCAGGACCTCTCAGTCTATGGGATGCTCAAATTGCCAGTCTTATCTACATCTTGTGCCTCTTCTGCCTTATAATTGGAATATTGGAGCAATTTGGCAATTACAGATTCAATATTTTTACTATGTACCAGCCAAGTATTTGAATGCGATAGCAAGACACATCTCCATAAGGAACTAAGCAAGGTGGTAATGAGTCACGTAACATACAAATACAAACATTGCACCTAGACATCTTTGTGGAGCTTGCTGACTGCCTACTACTGGTTGCCTGATCTTGGTCACCTGATGCCCCTCAAGCCAGCCCAGTGTTCTCATGCCTGGTGGCCAGGTTGTTGTGCACTTGTCAGGCCTTCTTGCTAGAATAAATGCCTACCCCAAGTTCCCGCCCTGTCAGCAATCCCCTCAACTCCAACTTCCTGCCTGCTGGCTCTCTGGAGCCATTTGTTTGTTTTTAACTAAATTTTTTTTTTCAATTACAGTTGCTATTCACTATTATTTTATATTAGTTTCAGGTGTAAAGCACAGTGGTTAGACATTTATATAATTTATGAATTGACCCCCCCCCCCCCCGATAATTCTAGTACCCATCTGGCACCACACATAGTTATTACATTTCTTTATTTTGTAAAGTTACCAGATCAAGAAAATGTGTATGTGCGTCCTGGCCGGTTTGGCTCAGCAGTTAGAGCATCGGCCCATGGACCAAAGAGTCAAGGGTTTGATTCTGGTCAAGGGCATGTACCTGGGTTGTAATTTGGTTCCTGGTCCTGGTCAGGATCACGTGGGAGGCAACCAACAGATGTGTCTCTCTCACATTGATGTTTCTCTCCCCCACACCTACTCTATCTGAAGATAAATGAAAAATATCCTTGGGTGAGGATTAAAAACAACAACAAAAAAAAATGTGTATGTGGACTTCAGTAGGATAGATGGCAAAAAACACCTTAAGGGTCAGGTGATTTAATACAGATTGGATGGTAATACAATAAGGCAAATTTGTAACTGGTTCAATTTCCATTAGGAAACAGTGGTAGGTAATAGATGGTTATCAACCTAAAGGGAGCATTTTAGAAATGGTATAGTATAATGATTACGAATTAAGGCCCTGAAGTCCAACTATCAGGGTTTGAATTTGGCTCAGCCACTTACTGGCTGTGTTACCTGGGGTAAGTTATTTCACTTTTCTGTGCTTCAACTTCCTTATCTGAAATGAGGATGATAATAACATCTACTTCATAAGGTTGTGATGAGGATTGGTTTGAATAGCTTGCTTTGTTTTAAGCACATAGTAAGGAAGCCCTGGCTACTTCAATATTTTGATCATGACTTTGTTAAATATAAAAAAAGTTTAGTGATCAAGTCAGTAAATTATGTGAAACTGGGAAGACTAGGACATACTTTGGGAGACAGAATCTTGGCAAGATGGAACAATGGGTCAATCTAATAAGCAGAATCTTAGTAGGGTATATCACTCAGTGTTCATTGGCATGGGAACAACACTCTACTAGTCTCATCAGATTGTATCCAGTGAGGGAGATATAATTCCCCAAATGAAAATGAGGATGCTATTATAAAAAAATAAAAATAAAAACATAGAACAGATGCAGGGCAGCTAAATAGATTAGAACGTCCACTACACAGGGATATATGTAAGGTTGAATGAAAGTGATAACCACAGAAATACAAGGTGAGAACATGTGGTTTGGCAGCCTCACAAACAAATACTTAGGAATTAGTAAACAGTCCTCTCAAATTGAGTCATAATTGGCAGTGTCTACAAAACAAACAAAAAAAGATGAGCTGATGTGGTTCTCTGGGAGCTATTGTGGTATTAACAGATGTGCTCTTTGTGTCTGTTTACTGGTGAGCCAGTTTATTTTTCCTGATTCCTACTTATTATTTTAACTTCAGGAAAAATAGAAGAACAGATGCCATATCACAAAGAAAAAAAAATATCTAGGGGATGTCCTCAGCCAACTAAGAAGAGAAAAAAGAAAGCTGGTACATTATGAGAAGTAGATGGAGCTGTGGGAAGTAGATGGTAAAACGTGTTTATGCTATTCTCTCTCCAAGCTATAAGTACGAGAGGTGGGAAGCATGTTAGACAGGTTGAGAGAAAAGCTGGAAGCAGAAGAGTTTGCTCCCTTTTCTTGTTTGGGCTCTAGAAGGAACATACCCTTGTGGTTAGGTAGAGAAGTTGAGTTGGCATTTCCAAGCTGCCCTCAGCTCTCAGGTGGCATGGAAGGGACACAGAAGTTCCCATATGTATGCCATTGAAGGGGGTCACAGTCCTGATTGATCACATGTTGACATGATAATATTTTTTATATGCTGTGTTAAATAAAATATATTATTAAAATGAACTTCACACATTTCTTTTATAATGTGGCTACACATGTGGTTTGCATTTGTGATTTGCATTATGTTTCTATTGGACAGTGCTGCTCTAGAGGAAATGGTGAAGTGAGAAAATCTGAAAGACTGAGTCATTTAAAAACAAACTGAGTTAACCTAGACACTGTTTCAGTTCTTGACTTCAAGTTAGTTTATAAGATTGGACTAACTTCAGTAGATGTTTTCTACTATACAGTGGTGTAGAATTTGTGAAGAAGATGGATTCAATTCTCTAAATTAATAAGACACCTTTTCTTGGCTTGTGTGATGGGAGATTGAGCCATTTGTTTCTGTGTTAAAATAAAAAGATTGGACAACCATAGGACATCTAGGCAGTTGGAGGCATTTAATAATAAAATACATGATCTTAGGAGGTGGTGAGTTCAGTGTTGTAGAAAGAATTCAGATGTCCTAATCCCAGTAGAAAGATTAAAAACATATAAATAGGACACCTCATTGTGCTCATTTCTATTCCTAAATTCTTCCCTCATCTGTTACCTGGAGTTTGATGAAAATGTATAAAAGAGATGTATAGTGCTGTGAGCTTGCAAGAGAAATATGTGATACATTTTCTAACCTTGATCCAGGAAAAGGGATCCTTGGTGCTCCAGGCATTGATTGATCCGGAATAATGAAGTCTGGCCAGCTTTGGGGCCCACTGTCCTTTGTCCAAGAAAGGGGAGAGAGATTAGATTCAGTTGGGTTGGGTTCTAGACACTTAGGAATAAAATTACTCCCTTAAGAAAGATTAATTCTAGCTGTGAAGGAAATAAAGGCATAGAGCACAGTAGTATGAATGACTGTCTGTGTTTTGCTTGTCCTTATTGTCCTTTTTACTTTCTAAAAATTAATAATTGAGTTGATCTTTAGCACCTGTATTTAGCTGATACTAGAATGTGTTACCAGCATTACCAAATATTATTATTTCTTTATTACACAATGTATGGTCATTGTGGAACAATTAGAAAATGAAAAAAAATTATATAGAAAAATAGAAAAAATTATCCTTCCACTTAGGGGAAAGTAATACTATTTTGGTATATAACTCTCAAGCCTCTCTTTCAAAGAAATTTTTTCCCTGTAAAACGGGTTGGCAAACTTTTTTCTGTAAAGGGCCAGATAGTAAATAATTTTAGCATTACAGATCATCTGGTCTCTGTTATAATTACTTAATTGCTATTGTAGAATGAAAGTAAACATATAATTGTAAATAAATGGGTGTGGCTGTGTGCCAATATAAGACTTTATTTATGGATACTGAAATTTGAATTTCATATAATTTCTACATGCCATAAGATACAATTCTTCTTTTGTATTTTTTCAATCATTTAAAAATAGAAAAGTTATTCTTAGCTTGAAGGCCATACAAAAACAGGTGGTGGGCTAGATTTGGCCTGCAGGCTCCAGTTTGCCATACCCTACTCTAAACAATGTTTCAGAATTATCTATAGATCCTATTCAAGCTTAACTATCACTGCTCATAGAAAAGTATAACTTCCTGAATAGATGCAAGAGGAACAATATTGAAGGCAGGCAGGACATTTAAGGAGGCAGTGGCATTACCCAGGTGAGAAGTGATGGTGGCCTGAATTAGAATGATCACAGTGGGAAGTTAAGAGAAAATAGATTTGAGAGGCACCTATGGAGTAAAATTAGTAGAAGATGGAGATAGATTGGTTATCTGAACCTATCCAACAAAAGTAAAAAAAAAAAAAAATCAGTCCAGTTCTTAGAGAGAAAATAATATTTACCATATTGTCCTGAAGCTGTAATCTGAAAATCTCTAATGTATCCAGAAGCCATTCCCAGTGGACTCTGACACTCTGAAATCAAATGAGGGCAACACAATAGCTAGACGTGCAGAAGACTGAGCTTCACAAATGCAAGTCAATAAAAATGGGAGAATACCAAAAAATGTTCATTTTTTTAGTGTTGACAATGTGCCAAGAATTGTATGAAATATTTTATTGTATAATCTCATTTAATTCACCCCAACAGGTGCTGGAACTATTTACATTTTTCAGCTAAGGAAACTAGGGTCCACAGTGGTTTACTTACTTGTTTAGGATGAAATTTCAAGCTTTTCCAAGCAATGTTTGTAAGTTATCTTTAATAATTGAACCTAAATTAAGTTTCAAAATGTGCTCTTGGAGATCTTGGAGCTTTATAAAGTTGTGAAAATAAAGAGATTTTTTTTTTTTTTAGCCCCAGTTTGTTAAATACAGTGTGGGACAAAAGTAGGTTTACAGTTGTCTGTATGTAAAATAATACAATAAACAATAAATAACATAAAAATACACTCTGTGTTTCACGTACTTACAACTGTAAACCTATTTTTGCCAAACCTGTATTTAAGACTCCAGGTTCAGTGTTCAAAGCTTCAGGTATAACTACCCTCCTCTGAAGATGCATGATTTCTACCAGCAATACTAATTTCAGATTTGATCATGACTGTGAACTTATATTTATTTCTTGACAAAGACAACCAGTCTAGGAAGGAGAAAAGTTGTATAGATCTAGGCTGAGTAGGCAGAGAGCCTCTCTACATTACTACTTACTCTTGCTGTACACCAGAAAAAGAGTGCTCATCCCAGCTTGTAGATGTTCGCCAATAAGGCATTCTATCCGCCAAATCCCAACTTCAGATGGTAGCATTTCCACTGTCTCAGAAACACCTTATGAAACACAAAAGGAACAAAAAATATTTATTTTCACTAAAAAACGACCATGAGACACATTGGCTTATGTAGAATATCAATGGAGCTCTAAGCCAGTTCTACCACTATTGGACCCCTGAAACCCAAAGTGCTTGCTATCTGACCCCTTCAGTTGGGGCACTAAAAATTGAGTTCTGACAGCCCCCAACCATGGGAAATGGGAGAGAGGGCAACAGAAATCTTTGGTGGTAGACAGGAGAAAGCTACTGCATTAGGCGTGTACTCAGTGGTTTTTCAGAACCACAGGTGTGTTTCTCATGGATCAGATACAGGCTCCCTGGGAGAGAAGAATCAGGGAGGTCCTCCCAGATCTAGTCTACTAGGGCTGCCGTGATGGCTAAAGGAAACCCATCAGAAGAAAGCTGGAAGTGAATGCTGAGAATCTGAGGAATGAATGACCAATCACTTGGAATAAAGATGGAACCAACCAGGTCAAGGGAATTTCATGAGAGAGGGTCTCAAACAGTAGTCTCTAAAGAGCCCCCCAAAAAGTTCCCTACAAAAAGAGTCAGCTTTAAATATCTGCCAGGTGCACAAAGTGTGAAGCTTGCTTACAACAATGGTGCCAGTTGTAAGTAAATAATAACAGTCCAATCCCTTATCTTGACACTTTCCATGCTGGAGTTCAAAGCAGCAATCAGCAAGGAGTTGGGAGGAAGCACAATAAGCAGGTTCAAGTTGGGGGAGGAGAGATTCAAGTTACATCAAGTTCAGCAGTTTTATAAATATAATAGAGTGGACATTGTAATTTTTGACAAACTATATCTGTGATATAAAGTGACCACAAGACTATTAAGATAAAAGTGAGCATTTCTAGGAATATATCCTAAGAAGCCTGAAACACCCATCAGAAAGAATATATGTACCCCTATGTTCATAGCAGCACTATTTACAATTGCTAAGAACTGGAAGCAGCCCAAGTGTCCATCAATAGATGAATGGATGAAAAAGTTGTGGTACATATACACAATGGAATACTACAGAGCTGTAAGAAAGAAAGATCTCTTATCTTTTGAGACAACATGGAGGGACCTGGAGAGTATTATGCTAAGTGAAATAAGCCAACCAGAGAGGGACAAATACCACATTATCTCACTTATTTCTGGAATATAATGAACAAAATAAGCTGACAAACAAAATAGACCCAGAGACATACATAGAAGTAAGGTTCAGACTGACAACCTTCAAAGGAGAGGGCGGGGGATGGAAGAGATAAACCAAAGAAGTTATATGCATAACCAGTGGACATAGATAACAGTGCTGTGGGGGGGGGGGGGAGGACGGGATGAGGAGGAGGGTGTCTATGGGCAAAAAAGGTAAAACCATTGTAACAAAAATAAATTAATTAATTGAAAAAAGATAAAAGTGAACAGAAAAGTCACTGGTCTTATAAGAAGTTCATGCAAAAAGAGGGCAAGTTTATTCCCACTGTTAAATCTGTTTTAAAGGGACAGTGGAAAACTAAAATGAAATTGTGTTTTTATTTATTTATTTTATTATTATTATTTTTAAAATTTTTATGTACCTTTTTAACTTATATGTAAAAAATATGGGGAGGAGGGTGTCAATGGGGTAAAAAAGGAGAAACATCTGTAACAAAGCATCAAGCTGAATAAAGCGGACGTTATGGGACTGATAAGCTAACAAGTCTTGAAAGAAACAGAGAAGCAGTTGTAACAGTCAAATTCATATTTAGTTATTTTTTAATTAATTAATTTACTTTTGAGGTAACACCATATTGTTTTCCATAGTGGCTACAGCAGTCTGTATTCCCACCAGCAATGTACTAGAGTCCCCTTTTTTCCACACCCTCGCCAACACTTGTTGTTTGATGATTTCTTGATGGCAGCCATTCTGACACGTGTGAGGTGATACCTCATTGTTGTTTTAATTTGCATCTCTCAGATGATTAGTGATGTTGAGCATTTCTTCACATGTCTCTTAGCCATTTGTATGTCCTGTTTGAAGAGGTGTCTAGTTCCTCTGTCCATTTTTTAATTGGGTTCTTTGTCTTGCTTTTGTTGAGTTGTATGAGCACTGTATATATATTGGAAATTAACCCCTTATCTGATATATCATTGGCAATTATACTCTCCCATACAGTGGGTTGCCTTTCCATTTTGATGATTGTATCTTTTGCTGTGCAGAGCTTTTGATTTTGATGTAGTTCCATGTGTTCATTTTCTCCTTTCGGTTGCCTTAGATGATGTATCAGTGAAAATTCTGCTGCATATGATGTCTGAAATTTTGTTGCCCACATTTTCTTCCAGGATTTTTATGGATTCATGAGTCACACTTAAGGCTTTTATCCATTTTGAGTTTATTCTTGTGTAGGGTGTAAATTGATGATCTAGTTTCATTTTTTTTGCATGTAGCTGTCCAATTTTCCCAACACGATTTATTAAAGAGGCTGTCTTTATTCCACTGTATGCTTTTGCCACCTTTGTCAAATATTAATTGAGCATATTGTCTGGGGTCCATTTCTGGGTTCTCTCTTCTGTTCCACTGGTCTATATGCCTGTTCTTGTGCCAGTACCAGGCTGTTTCGATTACAGTGACTTTGTAGTATAACCTGAAATCTGGTATTGTGATCCCTCCAACTTTGTTCTTTCTTTTCAAGATTGCTGTGGCTATTTGAGGCCTTTTTTGGTTCCATATGAACTTTTGAAATAATTGTTCTAATTCTGTGAAGTATGCCGTTGGTATTTTGATGGGATTTGCGTTGAATCTATAGATTGCTTTGGGTAATATGGACATTTTAATGATGTTAATTCTCCCAATCCATGAACAGGGTATGTGCTTCCACTTTTTTATATCTTCCTCTATTTCTTTTTTCAATGACCTGTAGTTTTCTGCAAATAGGTCCTTTACTTCTTTGGTTAAGTTTATTCCTAGGTATCTTAATTTTATTGCCACAATGATAAATGGGATTGTTCTCTTAGTTTCTCTTTCTGTGAGTTCATCATTGGTGTATAAGAATGCCATCGATTTCTTGACATTAATTTTGTATCCTGCTACTTTGCCAAATTCATTTATTAAGTCTAGTAAGCTTTTGATGGAGTCTTTGGGGTTTTCTATGTATAGTATCATGTCATCTGCAAATAATGACAATTTCACTTCCTCCTTTCCAATTTGGATTTCTTTTATTTTTTCTTCCTGTCTGATTGCTGTGGCTAAGACTTCCAGTACTATGTTAAATAAGAGTGGCGAAAGTGGGCATCCTTGCCTTGCTCCTGTTCTTAAGGGAAATGCTTTTAGTTTTTGCCCATTGAGTATGATGTTGGCTGTAGGTCTTTCATATATGGCCTTTATTATATCTAGATATGATCCCTCTATTCCCACACTGCTGAACGTTTTTATCAGAAATGTATGCTGGATTTCATTGAAGGCTTTTTTGGCATCTATTAATATGATCATGTGGTTTTTATTTTTCATTTTATTTATGTGGTGTATCACATTTATTGATTTGCGAATATTGTACCAGCCTTGCCTTTCTGAGATGAATCCCACTTGGTCATGGTGGATAATTTTTTTTGGTGCATTGCTGGATCCGATTTGCTAGTATTTTGTTCAGGATTTTGGCATCTATGTTCATCAGGGATATTGGCCTGTAGTTTTCTTTCTTTGTTGTGTCTTTTTCTGGTTTTGGAAATAGAATTATGCTGGCTTCATAAAACGAGTTTGGAAGTCTTCCTTCTTCTTGAATTTTTTGAAATAGTTTGAGGAGAATGGGTATTAGTTCTTTGAATGTTTTGTAAAACTCCCCCATGTAGCTATCTGGGCCTGGGATTTTGTTTGCTGGGAGAGTCTTGATTACATCTTTAATTTATTCTGTTGTTATTGGTCTGTTCAAGTTTTCTATCTCTTCCTGATCTAGTTTTGGGAGACTACGTGTTTCTAGAAATTTGTCCATTTCTCTTAGATTGTCGAATTTGTTGCCATACAATTGTTCACAGTAGTTGTTAATGATCTTTTGTATTTCCTTGGTGTCAGTTGTTACCTCTCCTCTTTCAATTCTGATTTTGTGTATTTGGGTTCTCTCTCTTTGTTTCTTGGTGAGTCTAGCTAAGGATCCATCAATCTTGTTTGTCTTTTCGAAAACCAGCTCTTTGTTTTATTGATCCTTTGAATTGTTCTTCTGGTCTCTATGTCATTTATTTCTGCTCTGATCTTTACTATTTCCTTCCTTCTACTTGCTCTGGGTTTTTTTGTTTGTTTGTTTGTGTGCTCTCTAGTTCTTTAAGTTGTGAGGTTAAATAGTCTATTAGAGATTTTTCTTGTTTTTTGAGGTAGGCCTGTAGTGCTATGAACTTCCCTGTCAGAACTGCTTTCGCTGCATCCCATAGATTTTGTGTTGTTGTGTCTTCATTTTCATTGGTTTCCGGGAGGTTTTTGATTTCTTTCTTGATCTCCTCAGTGACCCATTCATTGTTTAATAACATGCTATTTAGCTTCCATGTGTTCAAATGTCTTTGTCTGTTCTTCTTGCAATTGATTTCTAGTTTCATGCCACTGTGATCTGAGAAGATGCTTGATATGATTTCAATCTTCTTGAACTTGTAGAGACTTAGTTTTTGCCCTAACATGTGGTCTATCTTTTAGAATGTCCCATGTACACTTGAGAAGAATGTGAATTCTGTAGTTTTGGGTTGTAATTCTCTGTAGATATATGTTAAATCCATTTGGTCTAGTGGTTCATTTAGAGTCTCTGTTTCCTTGCTAATTTTTTGTCTAGAAGACCTATCCAGTGATGTCAGAGTGGTATTGACTTCCCGTGCTATGATTGTATTGCTGTTGAATTCTCCTTAAGTTCTCCAAAGGATTTTTATTATATGTTGGTGCTCCTCTATTGGGTGCATAAATGTTTACCAAGGTTATATCTTCCTGTTGGAGAGATCCTTTCAATATTATGTAGTGGCCTTCTTTGTCTCTAGTTATGGCCTTCATTTTGAAATCTACTTTATCATATATGAGTATTGCTACCCCAGCTTTTCTTTGCTTTCCGTTTGCTTGAAAGATTTTTTTTGCCATCCCTTCACTTTCAACCTTTGTGAGTCTTTTGTTGTGAGGTGGGTCTCTTGTAAACAACATATATGTAAGTCATGCTTTCTCATCCAGTCAGCTACTCTGTGTCTTTTTATCGGAGCATTCAAACCATTCACATTTAAAGTGATAATTGATATGTACTTATTTATTACCATTTTTGTTAAGTGTGGTTCTATTCTTCTTCCTATTTCTTCTACTGATTACAGCAGTCCTTTTTGCATATTTTTCAGTGCTGGTTTGGTGTTGATATATTCCCTTAGCTTTTTTTCGTCTGGGAAGCTCCTTATGTAAGCTTCTATTTCGAATGATAGCCTTGCTGGATATAGTAGTCTTGGATTCAGATCCTTGTGTTTCATTACCTTGATTACTTCATGCCAGTCCCTTCTGGCCTGTAGTGTTTTTGTTGAGAAGTCAGCTGAGAGCCTACTGGGGTTTTCTTTGTAAGTAACCTGTTGCTTATCTCTTGGTGCCTTTAGGATTCTCTCTTTGTCTTTAATTTTTGGCATTTTGATTACTATGTGTCTTGGTGTGGGCCTTTTTGTGTTCTTTTTACTTGGGGCTCTCTGTGCTTCTTCAACTTGAATGCCTTCTTCCTTCACCAAATTAGGGAAGTTTTCTGTCACTATTTCTTCAAATATATTCTCCACCCCTTGCCCATTTTCTTCCTCTTTGGGGACTGCTATGATGTAAATGTTATTATGTTTCCAGCTATCCCACAGTTCTTTAAGCTATCTTGCTGTTTTTTAATTGTTTTTTTTCCTTTTGGTTTTCTGATTGATTGATTTTTTTTCTACCTTGTTTTCTAATTCACTGATCCGGTCCTCAGCTTCCTCTACTCTGCTGTTAAGTCCTTCAAATGTGTTGTTTATTTCTGCTCTGTCATTCTTCATTTCCACTTGGTTGGTTTTCAATGTTTCTACATCTTTACTCATGGTACTGATGTCCTTACTCATGCTGTTGAGCTTCCTCAAGGTCATGGCTCTGAACTTGACCTCTGATAATTTGCTTAGCTGCATTTTATTTATCTTATCTTCAATAGAGTTTTCTTGTTCTTTCATTTGGGATTTGTTTTTTTGTTTCACTATTTTGGCTATCTCAGTGGGTTTTGGAGCCTGCCAAATATTCCCTGTGGGTGTTGGTGTTCTGCTGTTTGTGGCTACCTCTACTGCGTTTGGTTGAGCCTCAGTGGGCCCGTGTTAAACACCAGTGTCAAGTCCTACTTTCCTGGTATATTTGCAAGCTCAGAAAAGGTTCAGTTATCCTCTAGCTTTTTCCTAGTGGCCAGTAGTCTCAGTTACTCAGTGCCTTGAAATGTAACCCTGGTGTTCTGCATAAGAGGATTTCCAGAGGGTGGGATAGATGCTGGTTGTTAATGAGCCTCAATTTGCATTTCTTTGCCTCACCTGGGAAAGGCTGAATCTTTGAGAGGGCTGGGCTGCTGCTCTTCCCCACAGTTCTGGGAAGGAGCACACTGGCCACTGTCCTTTGTGGCCACATCAGCAAAAACTCTGAGTGCCCTTCAAATCCAGGTTGTCCTCACAGAGTTCCAGCCCAGTTTGCCCTCCCTCTGCCGTAGCCCCCAGGTGCAGGGCTGTGGCTATTTTAGCATTCTGTCCTGGTTCTCTGAGCTGTGGAATGGGCTTGTTTTTTCTTTATTTTAGTTGTAATTCCCATTTGGTCCTGGGAGATCGTCTTTGTAGCTTCTATTCACTCCGCCTCCATTTTCACATCCTCTATGCGTATCTTGTGTGCAGCTGGGTCGCACAGGCCTTTCTGGTGCCCCCACACTCCGCAGGCCCTGTGGGTAACTGGATGGCACAGTCCCTTTGGGGACCCCCACCTCTATGCCTATGTTATGGGCTGCTGGGTTGCACTGCCCTCTCTGGTGGTTTAGCACCTTGCAGGTCCCTCAGGTAACTGGATGGCACTGTTCCTGCTGGGTCACACAGGCCTCTCTGGTGGTTCAGCACTCCGCAGGTCCTGTGAGCGGGCAGCTGGATCTCACCTGTCTCTCTGGGGCTCTGGCTTCCCATTGCTCTTGTGGGGTACTGAACCACACAGGCCTTTGTGGAGCCCTAGGTCCTGCTGCTGGCAGCTGGGGAGTGCTGCTGCCCAGTGGGGCTCAACTCCTGCCTAGCTTTTGCTGTAGTTTTTGGGGATGGGTCTCAGCTGCTGGTCTGTGCTTCTGTTGCCTGGGGATGGATTTCTGCTCCCCAGCCTCTGTTGCTGGGGGTATATCTGGACTCTGATCGGGCTGCTACTATGGGAGATGGTGCTGGGCTCCGGGCTGTTTGCGGCTTCCACAACTGGCACCTTAGGAGCTCCACTACTGTGCACAGGTCTGTGTTGACACAGAGTGTCCACTGGTCCAGTGGTGCCAGGTGTGTTGGTGGGCTCATGTTGCTGTGCCCTAGCCGCTCCTACTGACTCCTCCCAGGGATGACCCGGGATCTTCCAAAATGGTGGGACCTCCCAGTGGCGCAGGGAGAAGAGCCCTGAAGGGCTGCTTGCTGTGGTAGCTGGCTGCTCCTGTCCACAGCCCAGGAAACTTCTGCTCAGTGTTTCTGCACTGCTCGGGTTTGATCGTCCACCTTCATGTCCACTCACACTCTCTCACACACTCACCTTCCCTCCGGTCCTGCCTACTGCCATCTTCTGAAATTGTGTTTTGATCAACATTGCAAGTAGTACTTAATCAACATATTGGTAACAGACATAAACTAATCACTCCTTGAATAATTACTGGTGCCATGTGGGATTTGAGATGGAAAAAAAATGCCTTTTTTCCTAGGAAGTGCCATGACATAAATTATCCATTTATTCTGTTCTATTTCTTTTGTAGCATATTATCTATATCTGAAATTATCATGTTCATTTGCTAATTTATTTATTATTTCTCTATAGGGTACAGTTACTTGAAAAAGTAGGTTACCTGAGAACAAGAAGTTTATCTGCTTTGTTCACTGATCTTCCCAGTGCCTGGACCATTTCAAGTAAATATTCAACAAGTATAGTAGGTAGAAAGAAGAGCACAAACTAGCTCATACCTGGATAGAGGTTGTAGACTGCCATTTTATACTCCTCTTTTTTCCGTACAGTGAATACATGTCCACTGAAATGAATAGAGTGGATGTTTTCATTGCTGCCCATACTGAGCAGATACCATCGAATCCTTTGATCCTGAGACATTACTAAGCCAGGTAGAGTATCCATCACATAGCCATTGATTGCTGGAGAAGGAGAACACAAAAAGGCTGTTAAAATCTACTGTAGAAGTTTCTTTTCCTCTACTCATCAAAAATATTGATTCAACCCTGCTGGTGTGGCTCAGGGCTTGAGCATCGACCCATGCACCAAGAGGTCACCAGTTCAATGCCCAGTCAGGGCACATGCCTAGGTTGTGGGCCAAGTCCCCAGTGGAGGGTGTGCAGAAGGAGGCCAATCGATGTTCTCTCTCTTTAATGTTTCTACCTCTCTCTCCCTCTTCCTTCCTCTCTCTCTAAAATCAATAAAGAAAAAAAATACTGATTCCTATGAAGATTACACTCCCATAAATATACTCTCAGTTCATACAAAGTCCAAGCCTCAGGCACAAGGCTAATTTGTCACATGCATGCTGTATTTCAGAGTGAGTAATATTTGGGTGTGGGATATATTACCATGGAAGCGATAATTTTCTTTAAAAGTGGGATCCTCCATCTGGATGTTGCAGGAAGCCCTGCAGTTCCTTTCCATGTTTTCGGTGATGTACCAGCTCTTGGTCTCATCAAAAATAGTAAAAAATAGAGCAAATTCCTGCACTGTCACTTGTCTCCCATGAGCAGGGTTCAGTGTGTTGGTTCGGCAGATCAGAAGGGGTCCAATCAAGCCTGAGTGCATATCTTTTTCCTGAGAGGAAAGACATTAATCCTGTGAGTATAAGCTCTTCCACCTATGAACCAGAGTGGATTTCTCATCAACCTTTGTGCCACTCCAAGCTACTCCCCATCTTCCCACAGTTCAATTCATCCTTCTCAGTAGATCCCAGAATGATATTTCTAAAACACAAATATGATGCTTACCCCCACCCCACATTTAAAGCTGCCCATAGGACAAATACCCAAATTCTTAGCAGATATTGCAAAGACCATTTCTTTTAAAACAGAAAGTGCCCAGCACAGTGTAGACCCACTTACCAGATCAACATCAGAAAAATAAGCCCAGGCTTTGCAGTCAAACTCATCTCTAGTGGGTGCCATATGATGTTGCACTTTCCAAAAGTAATCTTTGGTTTCATTAGGCTTGACAAACTTTTTTCTAGGTTCTGCTCCTTGTCTCTGATCTTCCTCATATGAAATAAGGCTAGAATAGAAGGAGTAGGGACGAGAAGCCTTGTTTTTGAAAGTTACCTGCAGAGCAAAAAAAAAAATTTAAAAAGAATGCAAGTATTTTAGTGTTTACATTCCTAATAGTAATGTTTATTTTGGCTTTATCCAAGTTTTAATACCCAGAGGAAGTATATAGGATGGATGTTGTTAGAACCCAAACCTAAAGATCTATAGAGGAAACTCTGAGGAATTTTTGAATTAAAAAAGTTTTAGGGCATGCACCCAAAGTTGCAAAGTAGAAAATTCCTAAATACTAAAAAGCAATTTCAAATTAAAAGGGAAAATACCACTACAGGGTATTTAAGAGACCATATCTCAGGACTTGATACTTAAGGTTCTTCATCATAAATTCCAGGATGAATGTATATAATCTTCTAAAAAGACTTTTTCAGATTTGAAAAAAATATACATGTTTCATAGGAAATATGATAAGTAAAGTAAAAATCAAGGCAAAAAATGCACTCACAATCCCATAATTTTAGATCCTTCTATATTCTTAATGTAAACTATCAATTGGGACAATGAATGACTGTTTCTTGGGAAAAAATAAAACTGCTTTGACCTTTAGCTCCCACAAGGCACCAAAAGAACTTCTAGTCTTTAGAAATTACTGATGGATTAAAAAGTTAAATTTTAAGAAATTAAACTGTAAAAGAAAGTTTGAGAAAGTATAGGTGCTTTTAAGAAAAAAAATCTCTGTATGGGGAAGGTTTTTTATAAACATGAAAGCTATGAAAGTGTCATAAAGGAAAGATCTATAGGTTACTTCCTAAAATATAAAACCTGTTTAAATTTAAAAACCACTATATATAAAATTAAGAGACAATCAACTTGAAAAATTACTATTCAATAAAATAATCAATTATCATTAATAAATCAATGATCTATAATATAGGTAATATAAATTAATAAGGAAAGCACTCCTTCAAAAAATGTCAAATGTGAAAAGGACATTAACAGATAATTCATTACAGAAAGTCTTAAAATATTCACGTACATTGAACTTTTAGAATTTTATCCTAGAAAAAGAGTTGGGAAGAGATAAACCACAGAACTTATATGCATGTATACATAACCAATAGACACGGACAACAAAGCCGGGGATGGGGCAGGTGTGGGGTGGGGAGGGGGGTGCCAATGGGGTAAAAAAGGAGAAACATCTGTAACAAAAAAATAAATTAAAAAATTAAAAAAAAAGAGTTGTGATTGCAGCATTATTTAAATAGTTGAAAAAAAAAAAAAACCTATCCAAAAGGTTACTAAAAGTAAATGGTTAAGTAAATCATAAATTCATGTAATAGACTCTTATGCCATCACTTATAAAAAAGATACCTAGGAAGTGTTTTTAAATGACATAAGAAATGTATATGACATGATATTTAGTAAAAAAAAAAAAGTAGAATTATACATTGTATAATTATGGATACATAAATAGAAGAACACATAGGAAAAATATAAGAACATACACCAAAATGATAATTATGAGATTCTTTTTCAACTTCATTTTCTACTTTTAAAAATTTTCAAAAATGAGAATACATTACTTTTGTAATCAGAGACAAAAAATATACAGGATTAATTTTCCTGTGATTCCATTGTCTTCAGCTCACCATGATATTGTCTTCAACTTCTGCTCTTATATATGGCCCCAGGAGTCCCAAGTGTTCATTTAGTTCTCCACGGTATAAGGGCTGAGTAAAGGAGCCATCAGTAAATTCCTGGAAAACCACTTTCTTGAACTGAAGGACATCTCTATTCTGAGCACTGAAGGAAAAAAAAAAAAAAAAAAACAGAGAAAAAGCAATATCCTCATGGGCCAGGTATATAGAAACACCTCACATTCTTCCTTTCCCTGTATTTGGAATACATTTAGTAGAATTGATTATGAATTGGAAGTGTGATGGGGAAGGGAGAGGAGAAAGAAAGATTAAAGATAACTTTCAGGTTTCTGATTTGGGAAAATGGGTGAATGGTGATGCAATTCACTACGATGAAGAGCCCTGAAGGAGGAGTAGGTTGAGGTTTACAGTTTTGGACACAGAACATCTATGTGTATTAAACTGGCCAAATACACAGAAATTGGGAGTTCACAAAAGAAGTCTAGATGAAGCACCTCCATATTTAGATGGTATCCCAGTCATGTGAGTGACTTATTAAAGTCAATAGTTAATTTTGTTACGTCGTCATCTTATTCGACATCTAAGAAACGTTTGCATAGTTTTCCACTCCATCCCACTTGACATACTCTCTTTAGACTTCACTAGCATGTAAGTTCCATAAAAGCAGGGGCTTTTCTCTGTTTTGTCCTCTGCTATATTCCCAGCAGCTGGAACAAATGCCTGGAATATAGTAGGTGCTCAAAAACTCTATTGAATATTAAATGGATGCAGGGTTTATACACATATTCTAAATATAAGAGCGATCCAAGTTTCAGTCCTTGGACCTCTTTTCTTCAATTAGAAAATCTGTTAAAATTGTAAACTAAGACTGCACAGCAAAGTGCATATAACAAATGTTTTTGGCACAAAAATGCAACCATCATCCAGATTAAGAACATTGTCAACAACCCAGAAGACTCACTGTATATACCCTCCCAATCACATCCTCTCCCTCCCCAGTGAGGTAACCACCATTCCAATGCTTAGGATAATTATTTCTTTGCTTTTCTTTATAATCATACTATGTATGTATACATCCCTAAAGAATTTAGTTTAGTTTTGCCTGTTTTTGAAGTATGTAAATGGAACCATATTGTATACATTCTATGGTTTCTGGCTTCTTTCACTCAGATTATGGTTGTGAGATTCATCTACACTGTGTGTTGCTATAGTTTGTTCATTCTCATTGCTCTATATTATTCCATTGTGTGGATATACCAGTCATGGACGTTCAAATTGTTTCTAATTTTTGGTGCTTACACAAAGTCGTGCTATGTACCTTCTTGTAAATGTCTTTTGGTAAACATATATATACATTTTTGTTGGGCAACATATCTAGGAGTGGAATTGCTGAATGTGCTATGTTCAGCTTTGTTAGATACTATCACACTGTTTTCCAAAGCATCTGCACCATTTTCCATTTTCATCAGCAATATATGAGAGTTCCATTTGATCCCAAACTTCACAAACACTTGATAGTGACTGTGTTTTTACGTTTTATCCATTCTAGTGGTTGCATAGCAGTGTGTTTGTTGTTTTAGTTTGCATTTCTCTCATTAATAATGAAGTTGAGCACCTTTCCTTAAGAGTAGAAGCCACTGGATTTCCTCTTTTGTGGAATGCCTATCCAAGCCTGGTTTGTTCGTTTGGGTTTTTTGAGCCAGTTTTTCTATTGGATAATCTGCTTTTTTTCTTATTGATCCAAAGAAGTACTGCGAATAGTCTTGATGAGTCCTTTGTTGGCTATTTGTGCTGCAAACATCTCCTATTCTGTGTCTAATCTTTTAATTCTATTTTTAAAAATCTTTTGATGAGCATAAGTTCATAATTTTAATGTAAAATTTATCAAAAACCCTTTATGGTTACTGCTTTTTGTATCTTGATGCCAGTTCTCTTTCTTTCCCAACTCTGAGGTTATTCAGAGATACTCACTTATTTTTTATTTTTATTTATCTTTATTGTTGTATGTATTACAGATTTCCTCTTCACTTATTTTTTTCCATCTAAGAGATTTATAATTTTATGTTCATGTTTAGACTTATAACCCAATGTAAGTGGATTTTTGTGTATGGTGTGAGTTAGGCATCCAATTTAATGTTTTTTCATGTGGGTATATAAAAATTTCCTGGCACCTTTTATTGACAATTGCTTTTCTATGACACCTTTGTCATAAATCAAATGTCTATTTATGTGTGAATGTAGTTTTGGATTTTCTATTCTTTTTTATTGACTTTTTGTTTACCCTAGTGCCAATTATCATGCTGTTTTTAATTATTACAGATTTAAAATAAGTTTCAGTATGTTATACAGCAATTCCTCCTTGTTCTTTTTCAAGAGTGTCTTGGCTATTCTTGGCCCTTTGTATTTTAAAAGCAGCTTGTTGAATTCTAAAAGAGAAAAGACTAGTTGAGATTTTCATTTGGGATGCACAGAATCTATAGAGCAGTTTGGGGAAAATTTACATTTTCACAATATTGTGTTTTTCAGTTCATGTACATGGGACAGCTTGGCACTTATTTAACTGTTCTTTAAAGTCTCCCATTACATTTCCAGTTTTTTCCTTAGAGGTATTGAAAGAAAATTGGTTATACTTATATCTAGGTACCTGTGACTATTTTATTCCATTGTAAGTAGCAGGTACTGTTAATTTTATTTTCTACCTGTCTGCTGCTATTATACAGACATATAATTATCTTTTGTATATAGATTTTGAATTTCACAAATATGCTAACCTTCTTAGTTAATCCTAATAATTTATTCATAGTTATTAAAATTGTTTTCTATGTATACAATTCATATAATTTGTAATCGAGGACTGTTTCCTTTTGCCCTTTCCAACCTTTTATTTCTTTTTATTGCTTTGGTGTGTTGGCTAGCACCTCCAGTACAGTACTGAGTAGAAGTGATGATAATGAAGGGTTCCTGGTCTCCAAAGGAAAACTTTCAGTGGATCAGCATTAAATATCATACTTGGTGTAGATTTTTGTATATACTCTTTCTCAGGATAAGGGAATTCCTTTCTATTCTAATTTGCTAAAAGTTTTAAAAATCACATGTGGATGCTAAACTTTAAGCAAACACTCTTCATAAAATGAGAGTGTTGTTTGTTTTTTATATTTTACCTTGTTAATGTGACAAATTACAATGGTTTTAAAAAATGTTAACCCAACCTTGTAATTTAGAGATTACATTGACATATTTTTCTATCTTTGTATCAATATCATACTTTATTAATTGCTGCAGCTTTACAATAACTCCTGATATTTGGCAGTGTCATTTTTTCCTCTTCAAGATTTCTCTCTATGTACTGCTTTAGCTACATATCACAAGTTTTAATATGTAATATTTATATTTTCACTGGGTTAAAAGTATTTCTTCTTTGATAAACACATTATTTAGAAGTGTGTTGCTTAATTTCCAGTTAACCTTCTGATTGATTTAATGTTTAATTTATTGAAGAGCATATTTTATGTTTTCAATCCATTAAAAGTTCTTGTTTTGTGACACAGCATATGGTCTACTTTATTAAATTTTCCATGTGAACTTGAAAAATTGTTAAACCTGGAGTTGCTGGGTGTGCTCCATTAATCATATTTAAATCTTCTATATCCTTATTGATGTTTGGGTCCTTTAAATCACTTATCTCTGAATAGGATTGTGAATTTATCTATTTATTTAATTCTGTCAATTTTTGCATTATGTGTTTTGAAGCTATATTATTAGGTTAATACAAATTTTAGAATGTTATATCTGCCTATTGAGTTGACCTTTTTATAACAGTTCCATTTTATCTCCAGAAACCTCTTGCTTTAAAGTTTACTTTCAACCGCCCTGGCCAGTTTGGCTCAGCGGTTAGAGCGTCGGCCTGCGGTCTGGAGAGACCCGGGTTCGGTTCCCGCTAAGGGCACGTACTTCGGTTGCAGTTTGTCCCCAGCCCTGGTTGGTCGTGCGGGTGGCAGCCACTCGATGTGTCCCTTCACGTCGATGTTTCTCACTCTCTCTCCCTCTCACTCTGTGCAAAAAATGGAAAAATATCCTCAGGTGAGGATAAAAAAAAAAAAAAAAAAAAAAAATAAAGTTTACTTTCAACCTAACTGAGTCGTTATATTTTAAGTGTGTCTATTGTAGAAAATGCATAGTTTTAGTTTTGGTTTTGGTTACCATGAGATTCATACCTATCTATTTATGTCTATAGCAGTCTATTTTAACCTGATAGTCATTTAAGTTCAAATGTATTCTAAAAGCACTACCTTTTTACTCCCCTCTCCATGCTTTATGTTGTTGATGTCATATTTTATATCTTTTTGTTTTGTGCATTCCCTGATTATTGTTGTATTTATAGTTAATTTTACTATTCTTGTCTTTTAACCTTTATATTGGCTTTTTTTAATTAAACTTTTTTTTATGGTTTTTAAAAATTGATTTTTAGAGATAGAGGAAGGGAGAGGGAGAGATAGATGGAAACATCAATGAGAGAGAAACACTGATTGGCTGCCTCTTGCACCCTCCCTACCAGGGATCAAGCCCACAACCCAGACATGTGCCCTGACCGGATATTGAACCATTGACCTCTCAGTGCACAGGTTGACACTCAAACACTGAGCCATACTGGCTGGCCACATTGGCTTTTTAAGTGGCTGATTCACTGTGTTTATTATATATTTATCTTTAAGAGTCAAATTTTTCTTTTTTGTATTTTCTTATTTCTGGTTATGCCCCCCCCCCCCCCTTTTTCCTGCATAAATAAGACCCTTAATATTTATTGTAAAGCTGGTTTAGTGGCGGTGAACTCCTTTAGTTTTTGCTGGTTTTGTATAGTCTTTGTCTCTCTTTCAATTCTGAATGATAACTTTTCTGGTTATAGTATTCTAGGTTGTATGTTCCTTTCTTTCACACCCTAAGGGGTCATTATAAGAAATCAACTGATAGCCTTATGGGGTTTCCCTTGTATGTGACTTGTTATTTCATCTGGCTACCTTTAAGACTGTCTCTTAATCCTTAACTCTTGCCATTTTAATTACAATATGTCTTGGTGTGAGCCCCTTTGGCTTCATCTTTTTTAAAAGTATGTTTCTATTGATTTTTTAGAGAGAGAGAAAGGGAGAG